GATGATGAGATTTTCTTTTTCCTTTATTTAACGTCGGTCTCTAGTGCCAATCACTGACGAACATCGATTGCCGTCCATCGACGGCAGTCGAATGTGCAGAAAGGCAACTTCAACACCTGTGTAGAATATCGCACCCATTCAAACACACATGGGCCGGGACCAACGGCTTTACTTCCCTTCCGAAGGAAGACGTGACCAGAGATTTTTATGCCTCAGAAAAATCCCACCGACCTCGGCTGGGATTGAGCCCAGACCCATTGGGGTGAGAAAGCTGTCTTGTTTACCACTACACCACCGGCGCCGGCAAATGATGAGATGATGAGTATAGTGTTGATAGTTCCGTTATTGTATGGCATTGTGAAAATTGTATGTAGAAAGTAGAAAGCGAGCAAAGGACAATTTTGAGGAAGGTACGAATTGGGTTGATCATCCTTTTATCCGGTAAACGGGATAACCAACCCGATTCGCACCATCCTCAAAATTGTCCTTTGCTATTCTACTTTCTACATTTTCACACTGCCGCACTATAACACATCATCATCATCTGGAACAACTGAAATACGGGAATTATGGGATGTTTACATATACGCTGGTTTACTAGATTAACCAGCTCAACCAACTAGTACGAATTTCAATCGCTCCTGAAATCTCATGCTGGTAGATGCTGCCGCTCTGTTTACATTATGCTGACTACTTTCTAGTACAGATCTAGTACACTAGCGCTAGCACACCAGCATAGAGGTAACGTATATGGATAAAAAAATAAGTGAAAAATTGTAGGCGGTGGTCTCAAGCCGTTTGTGGATCTCGTAGGCGAGATGCGGGTTAAATTCCAATGCTAAGAAATGAATCGATACTTAAGTGCAATCCCAAGTAACATTGCAAGCTTTATAGAGGTTTTATAGCATTATAAAAGCCTAAATCATGGTCTACATTAGAGTCGGTGTATAATGAGTCACGCCAAGAGAAAAACAGTTGAACTCACATCACGGTTTCCGAAGGATTCCCTTTCTTTTCACTTGGCAACAGAGGACTTCTACATCAACTTTAAATGACTTCTAGCGAGAACCAAACATAACGGCTGTAGTGAATCATAATATCAGTGATTTTGTCAAATTATCTTATCAAAAAATAGTAGAAATTCTCATTACTGATCAAAACCAAACGCTCGCTGCGTGTTTATGATGATTTCTTCAATTTTATTTTATATTTCATTGCAATACCTTTCGTAGACCTTTCATAGCATCGAAATGTTTATTTACTTTGCACGATAGGTAGCCGATTTGACAGTTCAATAGGTAGACTTGGCTTCACTCTTGGCGTGACTCATTATACACCGACTCTAGTCTACATAACCCTCATAAAACCAAAATTGTTACTTGAGATGTCATCTATATGTTGGATTAGGTTATTGGTAAAATATTACAAATGATATGCGAAAAGAAAACTGCTATATTCTTGTTTAAATTGGTAAAATTGAAAAAGCCACTGCACACAGTGGGGCCGTTCTGAAAAAAAAGATGGTCAAAAGTTTTTTTCTCACCTTTATCAACGTTTTAGTGCCTAGGTGTCTCCAGAGAAGTTTCTTCAAATTTCATTTTGCATCTTTTGAAGTATGCACCTGAATTTCTATTATATTCTGTTACACTTAGAAAATCTAACTTTTTTTTAATTACGAGCTAATGGGTTTATGTCTTCCTCAAGGTTGTAGAGAATAAAATTTTAAGAAACTTTGCTGAAGACATCAAATCTATAAATCTTCTCCTTCTTTTCCTTTATTTAACGTCGGTCTCTGTTCCGCAATCTAGTGCCAATTACCGACGGACATCGATTGCCATCCATTGACGGCAACCGAATGTGCAGGAAGACAGCTTCAACACCTGCGTAGGATATCGAACCCATTCACAACACACACACATGGGCCGGGACCAACGGCTTTACTTCCCTTCCGAAGGAAGACGTGACCAGAGATTTTTATGCCTCAGAAAAATCCCACCGGCCTCGGCTGGGGATTGAACCCAGACCCATTGGGGTGTTTAGAAAGCAGTCACGCTTACCACTACACCACCGGCGCCACCACTACACCCCAGAGAGTTTTCTCTCAGGACTACCTTAAAAACTGTTTTTTTTTTTAGTTTTTCTAATAATTAAGTACATTACATTACAGACTTTTCCGTCTACCATAGAACACACAGTGCAGTCGCAGCCACAGTGCCGGAATTCACGACAATGGCACAGTCGGTAGGGACCGCACCGTTCCTAGCAGGTGAGTTTCCTTTAAATCGTTTTTTCGGCAATTTTTTTTTAAGAAGTGTATGATTATGCTCGGTCACGTAAAACAAAATAAAAAAGAGAAAATTAAAAAAAAAAGTTAAGTCCAAGAAAAATAAAAATGGCGTCTATTTGGAGCATGATGGTGCAGAAATTGCACCATCGAATTTTTCTTTGCGTCTTTTCCGGTTTGAGTTGAAAAATCTCCCCCACTAGAGGAGAAATTGTTTTCGGCTAGTGTGCAGTGGTTTTTTTTTAGTGATATTTGCTCGTCGACGTGAATTTTTTATGTAAAAGTCTGGACTCAGAAAAATGGCATCGATTTGGAGCAGGAGTATGCGGATAGTGCATCATCAAACGGCTTGGCGTGTTTTTCTGTGCGTTTTTTTTTCAATTGAGCTAGAAAATTCTAACCGGTAGAGGAAAAATTGTCTTCGTGAAGTGTTCAATTATTCCCACCGTGATTTTTTCTCGATGACGTGAAAAATTCTAGAAAAATCTGGGCGCAAAAATGGCGTCGATTTCAATAATAATTCCGTACGAAAAAAAAATTCATGCGTTACGCACCACACTACCATAAAATTTCATGCGTTATGCTCCACCTTCATGCCAACCGCGATAATAATATAATCGAATTTTCCTTTGCCGATTTATTTTCATTTATTGTCCTATTTCGTTGCATATAAAAAACGTCGTTACTTTTCAGCTGCGTACTACGCTGACCACGCTATGGAGTTGTCCATATGCACAAAAGTGTGCGTGAGACAGTGCCTCGGAGTGCCTTTTCGAGTGGTTGTGGTTTCGCGGGATGCCTGAAGGGGTTGTCTTTTTCTTTTTTCTCCCCTTTTGTGTATGGACGATGGAATGGTGTTCGTGAGATCGTGATTGAAGATCTCTATAGGCAGCAGATTGGAATCAATGGATTATACCTACGGAGAATAAACATAAAAATATAAGGGAGTAAGGTGGAAAAAAGTCGGATTTGCGTTTAAACCTAGTTGGGTCTGTGGAAATCCAACCTCTGAGTGGGTTGGTACGTCTTTGAATGGACGTTAGACCTAGTTGGGTCTGAAGAAATCCAACCTGCGAGTAGGTTGGTGCGTCTTTGAGTGGACGTTAGACCTAGTTGGGTCTGCGGAAATCCAACCTCTGAGTGGGTTGGTACGTCTTTGAATGGACGTTGGATCTAGTTGGATCCGAGGAAATCCAACCTCTGAGTGGGTTGGTGCGTCTTTGAGTGGACGTTGGACCTAGTTGGGTCCAATGAAATCCAACCTCTGAGTGGGTCGGTGCGTCTTTGAGTGGACGTTAGACCTAGTTGGGTCTGCGGAAATCCAACCTCTGAGTGGGTTGGTACGTCTTTGAATGGACGTTGGATCTAGTTGGATCCGAGGAAATCCAACCTCTGAGTGGGTTGGTGCGTCTTTGAGTGGACGTTGGACCTAGTTGGGTCCAATGAAATCCAACCTCTGAGTGGGTCGGTGCGTCTTTGAGTGGACGTTAGACCTAGTTGGGTCTGCGGAAATCCAACCTCTGAGTGGGTTGGTACGTCTTTGAATGGACGTTGGATCTAGTTGGATCCGAGGAAATCCAACCTCTGAGTGGGTTGGTGCGTCTTTGAGTGGACGTTGGACCTAGTTGGGTCCAATGAAATCCAACCTCTGAGTGGGTCGGTGCGTCTTTGAGTGGACGTTAGACCTAGTTGGGTCTGCGGAAATCCAACCTCTGAGTGGGTTGGTACGTCTTTGAATGGACGTTGGATATAGTTGGATCCGAGGAAATCCAACCTCTGAGTGGGTTGGTGCGTCTTTGAGTGGACGTTGGACCTAGTTGGGTCCAATGAAATCCAACCTCTGAGTGGGTCGGTGCGTCTTTGAGTGGACGTTAGACCTAGTTGGGTCTGCGGAAATCCAACCTCTGAGTGGGTTGGTACGTCTTTGAATGGACGTTGGATCTAGTTGGATCCGAGGAAATCCAACCCCTGAGTGAGTTGGTACTTATTTGAATGGAGTTCGATCAACCGATTCCAATTATGTGGTTTTCAAAATTGATTCCTTATCTGTCAGAAATAAGTGAGCTTCGACAGCAGGTTTACTTAAAAATGTTCAATCTGTCAGATTTAAGTGAACATTCACGAATTGAAACACAGCCTTAGTGGAAACGTCACTCTATTACCAAACTCCGCCACAAACGGGCGAATGATAACTATTGTAAACAAAAAGCAAATACTGACATTTCCTTACTGTGAAAGCATTAGCAAAATTACTATGTTGAAGGTTTAAGTCAAAAACGCGACTAGATTTCGGTGAAAAACAAATTCATTCAGTTCTATTTTTTTTCGGTCAAATTTACTATCTCGTTTGAGCAAGCTTAGTATTTTTGACAGAATCATTGTGGGTCGGACCGCATTTGTAGTCAATTATACTGAAACCATAATGGATGTGACGATATTTACCATGGTATTAATGAAAACAAATGTTTTCTACAAAATGGTACTCATTACAATGCTCTTCGTTTCTGTGTACGTTCTCGCATGTCGCGTTTGATGTTATTGTGCGTTGAATACTTATATCATTGGCAATTTTGATATTAGTTTTTGGAATTTCGTGACTTAGCAGTAGATTAAAATTGCATTGGATAATCATACTGCTCTTGAGAAAATTTGCAGCAGAAAACCATGTAAATAAAATGTAAAACAATTGCTTGTTGTATTTTTTTTTAGTTCGTCAATGCATATCGGTGATGATGAATGGCCATCATTGGAGGAGGCATTGGAAGCGGAAAGGAAGATAACAGCTTCCTTGTCTTCAAAGTTGAAGAAATCTCGAGCCAGGAACAAAAAGCTAAGGACTACGTCTAACATCGGTTTTCCACGTTCACAGTCCACTATGCGAGAGGTTACTAGGGTTCAAGGTAACGAATCATTGTCAATCTCGATGAATAACTTGTCCTTTGCATCTTTGAACATCGCCGAATGTACGCCCATGGACGGAGAAGATGACATTGACAAGAAATCGTTCGAGAATTGGAAAGATCTATTGGAGGCCTCTATGAAGCTCATTAGAGTAACGGACGAGGATACAAAAATGAGTATCTTCAAAATTAAAGCAGGGCAAAAGCTTTTAGACATTTTGGAGGGTACTGTGTCATCAACCAGCACACCATGCTGTGAATCTGCTCCGTATTCCAATGCCATGAACCGATTGAAAGACTTTTTCGGTTCTCGTGATTACTGCTTGTTGCAAAGGCAAAAGCTCCGTTCTCTAACTCAAAACGTCAACGAGCCTGATTCCAAATACGTCCGGCGTGTTATCAACACAGCAAAATTATGTGATTTTTCCGGGGACCAACTGGGTGAGAATGTGGCAGACGTCATTCAGACTCATGCTCTAAGTTTGAGGATCCGTGAAATTGGAAGGAAGATGTTACGGAAGGGCGGATCAATTCCCGAGTTGCTGGAAAAGATTCGAGCCTTCGAAATTGGACAGTTGAACGAAAAGTTATTCGCAAAGAGCCACCCAGCGAAACGGGCAGAAGTTGATGCCGTATCCGTCGACTACCAGCCAGATTCTAGTTCGGGTCGGTATACAAATCAACGCACCTTCACAGCATGATCTGACCACCATCACTCGCACGAGCTCACGATTCGTCATTGGGGGCGATTTAAATGCCCGCCACGAAGCATGGCGGAACTATCAGCGGAATCTGAACGGACGTCTGCTATTCGACCACTCGCAGCATGGGCTGTATACAGTGAAATTCCCTGATGAACCGACATTCATCTCTCCGGCGGGAAACCCTTCCACGTTGGACTTTTTTCTATCGAACATTGGACTATCCAAACCGATGGCGATCAACGATCTCAGTTCCGACCATCAACCGGTGGTGGCTGAAGTCGGCACCCACGTGGAACCTGCTCAAAGCCTGCGCAAAGACTACCATTGTCGTGAATTCCGGCACTGTGGCTGCGACTGCACTCCGCGTAGCTCAGCATCCTTTACATGCGTCCACACTCTTGAAAAATATTTTCCAAACTGATTATCGGGTCGAACCATCGTCGACACGAAGCTCTAATGCTATTCCTCTCTCTTTCTCTCCCTCTCGTCATTTCTTCTCTTTTCTTCGACGTTTCATGACAGTTAGCCACCGTACGGGATTCGGTACCTTTAGCCATAAACTGTATATTGGCATAAACATACAAATCCAAATACTTATGTTGCAATATATTTTGAATTCTATCAACCAAACGAACTTTTTTTTTTTTTTTTTTTTTTTAGCAATTAGACTAAACAGTTTGTTGTAGCAATTTTTAAGTGCAAAAGCAACTTTTTTTACGAAAGCGTACCGTTTTTCCAAATTAATCATTATTGACTACTATAATCCCTACATCCTCCTTCTCCTGTACTCTCAAATTAGTATGGACTGTTTTGATGACTAATACATACAAAGCACCATCTTTGTGTATTAAATGATAGTTCTAGGTATAGGGAAAAGTTTAAACTAAATATTTGTACCACTTTGAGAAAATAATGTAAACTTCCGCAATAGCTAGCATCATCCTCCCCATGAGGAACTTCAAATGTCAAAAAGGTACACGAGCCAATTACTATGGTGATAAGGCACTTTCCTTTTTCTTCTGTAATGTTAAATTTAGTAAGAAACCACGGTCCTCAGACACTTACCACACCACAAAAATGACCCTCCCACCACTTGAGGGGCGACATTTCTTGGATCTGAGATTTAACTACCACCCAAATTATGTGATATATTGGCGGTTAAATTTCAGAACTTTCTGTATACTACTAATTCGTTGAAGATTGCATTCTTCTCCGTAAGCAAAGCATGATGTAATTATTCAAATTTATACAGAAAATCGATCGAAATGGGATATATAAACATACTCACTCTTTAAGTTTGCTGATTCGAATCGGTGCTACACTTCTTGACGTTTCGTTTGGCTGTTATCGTTCATAAATATAAGTACCTATACTAACGATCTTCAATCAATTGAATTCAATCAGTTCCTGTTTTCGAAAGTCAATGAAGATAACAAGGAACAACAGGGGAATGAAGTAAGATACGATAAGGTAGGATGAATTAAGAAGTAAAGAAAAAGTTTACCATTAAAAATTGTCTTCACAGTGCCCATTCAATTTTTATTAACATTAATCTGGAACAATTTCAATCAAAAACACTGTATGCGAAAATATCCCTGTACCTTTCAGGTTTCTTGATGCACCTTTTTGGTCTGTTAGGTTCCAACGAAGCCATCCCTTCCTTGACAGATTCCCGAAGGCTGCTATCGATATTTTTTGCCTGCTCTTCATCATAGTCGTCCACTGTTCTCTCCATGTGCAACCGGTGAAAGATCGAAGAAGGCCGCGCGATTGAAATGACGTGTTTTGATTTTTTTAATGTCGTTTTCGTTTTTGCGGTGTAGCTACACCGGTGCTACACTGCCGAACACCGAAAAAATTTAGGGTGTAGCTATTGGTTGCACCTTTGTGTCGTGAATTCCGGCACTGTGGCTGCGACTGCACTCCGCGTAGCTCAGCATCCTTTACATGCGTCCACACTCTTGAAAAATATTTTCCAAACTGATTATCGGGTCGAACCATCGTCGACACGAAGCTCTAATGCTATTCCTCTCTCTTTCTCTCCCTCTCGTCATTTCTTCTCTTTTCTTCGACGTTTCATGACAGTTAGCCACCGTACGGGATTCGGTACCTTTAGCCATAAACTGTATATTGGCATAAACATACAAATCCAAATACTTATGTTGCAATATATTTTGAATTCTATCAACCAAACGAACTTTTTTTTTTTTTTTTTTTTTTAGCAATTAGACTAAACAGTTTGTTGTAGCAATTTTTAAGTGCAAAAGCAACTTTTTTTACGAAAGCGTACCGTTTTTCCAAATTAATCATTATTGACTACTATAATCCCTACACATGACATGGTGAATTTTCACTCCATGCACATCAGTAGGCTGCAAACTTTGAATTTGCTCATCAAAATACTCCTTTTATTTCAATGACAGTATCAAACAAACTGACAAACTGCATGCGGATTGGTCGACATAACCTTGTCAATGATGGCCTCTCATTCATCCATAGAATTTTGCTAGAATTACTTCGAACTCGTAATTGTAGTGGAACCATGGACGTCATGAAAACAGAGCTGTCATTGGAATCTTCACATGAAAATGTTTGCTTATAATTCGAATGATCCGATGATCCATCGAATCCCTATTTTGGAAGTAGTTCCAGGTCTTCACTGATCTCCGGTAAATCGAACGATAAAATTCGTTTGGTAGTGTGGTCCAATAACAACTGAAGTTGAGTTTCAGCGGATATCTCAGACATCATTAAATTGTCTGGGAGACATCTTTCGCGAGCTTTGATCAACCTCTTATCACGGATAGAAATCTCCTTATACCTTTTGGCAAATTTCTATTGCTGATTATTCATAAAATGTATAAGTCAAGTAATAAGCAGACGCCTTGCAAAAAGTTAATGAAGAGCATGTGTCAAATGAAATGTATAAGCGGTCACACATACCTTTTATGCATTCTTATAGGATCTATGTGGTTTGCCTTATGGAATCTATAAGGCTGATGCTTTGGCAAAAATGTATAAGTGAAACACATGGATAAAATAATTGATTTTCGTTTCGTGATGAGAGATAAATCCGCGAAACATGACATTGCTTTGTAGTACTACGCAACAGCGTCCATTGGTCTTTGGAAAAGTCCCCGTCAATGAATAATGACCAACCTTCGTCTTCAGTCATAGATCGCTCACTTTGAAAATCGTTGTGCAATTTCCAAGTTTTGCCGCGTTTTCAGATCCATCTGCACGTGCATTCATTTCCGCCGCGTAAGCCAATTCCTCGTTTGTTTCCGAGCTTTTCAGAACATTTACTCTTCGCCTCTTGTTTTACTTATTCAGCCTCGGCGAACGATTTTTTTGGCCGTTCTTCGACTTTCTCCGCATTTGCTACTAGAAAGCGGTTAAGCGTGCTGTTGGCTCTAATCCAACGCTTTTCTAGCTCTGCACAAAAACTGGCAATAGCTCTTCTCAATTTTATGCAGATGTTTTTCAAAATTCCAACCAATTTTGAAAGCACGTGATCCCGGACATGATGCATTTTGATTTCACGAGATTTACCTAGTTTCTTCTTCCATACTCCGAACAATTCATTGCAAGCTGGTTGATAAGCACTCATTTTTCACGAAAAATAAAACACAAACAGTTGTAATAAACACAACACAACGATCACCGACGTTACCACTTTGACAGCATGTCTTATCTGAAGCCTCGACGACGGAAATGGATCGAGGTTCAAAGTAGGCCGTGCGTGTGAACAGATCCTGTCGTTTACCCGTTTGAGAGAACCTATTCACTTATCCTCGATACTACCCCATCCTTATGTGATGTAATATGGAAGTTTGTTCTAATTTTTTAATTCTTTTTTTAAATTTGAATGATTGAATATAAAAGCTTAGAAATATAAATTCAGTATAATGAAGCATTATTTTAAAAACAAGTAGAATATCGCATAAATGGTGATGTATAAAATAACATGAAACATGATATGTGCGAAGTGTCCTGATTGCGATATGTTGCTTGCTCATACTTTAAACTATGACATACTTAATGACGTTTGTAGTAGTTGGTGTCTTCAGAGAAATTGCGTATTTTAACGTTATCTAAAACTTTCTTCAACAAGTTGGATTGATGTCATGTACTTAAGTATTAGAAAAACTCAAAAAAACAGTTTTTAAGGTAGTCCTGAGAGAAAACTAACTATATCTCTCTGGGGTTAAGATGTATAGATTTGATGTCTTCAACAAAGTTTCTTAAAATTTGATTCTCTACAACTTTGCGCAAGACATAAACCCATTATCTCGTATCTCGTACAAAAAGTTATATTTCCCAAGTGTAATACCCCCTTAATAAAAATTCAGGTGCATATTTCAAAAGATGCTAAATGAAATTTGAAGAAACTTCTCTGGAGACACCTAGGCACTAAAACGTTGATAAAGGTGAGAAAAGACTTTTGACCGTCTTTTTTCAGAACTGTGCTGCGATTCAAAATGCGCATACAGAGTTCAAGCACAGGAAGCATACATTGGGGCTCTATTAAATTTAAAATTGTATTCAAAATGTATTAAATTAAATTTCAAAGGTTCAGGCTTGATTACGAAGTCGTGACACACTTGCGGCTTACTGATACTTATGAAGGGTACACTACGATTGCGTGCTTGCCACTGTGAGGCAGATCACTCATACTGGCTATCTTTTAAGTGCGTTGAGCGACCTTTTAACATTAATTTATGAACTAATAATTTAGAATGTTTGTTTTCAAACGAAGACGAATATTTTAAGAAGTTGAGACCATAAAATTTATAATTTTCGAAAAATAAGGGTCAGCCTATGGACGTGTATGTATGAATGTAACAAACCACTTTGGTCTTGCCCTGCATGCGGCTCTACTCAACAGCATGATTAAATTTCGTAACCATTCTGAATTCAAAGGGCCAAAAAGGGATGGGCGGGCCCGGAAGCAGATACACTTACGTGAAACCCGAAAGAATAAGAGATTCTCCTTC